ATTGCTAGTCAAATGAGCACTGTGTCAAAGTCCAGCTGTATGCTTTATACAGTCTCATGAAATAATTGATTGATGATTATTATATTATATCAAACCTTTATTCCGCAATATCACTTCTATATGTTCTTTAATTGGAGGATCAACACTGGGAACCAGTTTCTTGAAAGTTGTTTCTGTCTCATACAATATTGTATAGTCTTCCTAATCAACAGAAAGACCCTTTGTACAGTTGCTTTGCACAATCAATCCCCATTGCTCAATAAAACTAGTTACACTATCTGTTGATCTATCTTGACGTCATTAGTGATTCCACCAGTCTCCAGGACCCCAAATGAACATGCTGTAACTGTAGCAGCCATCCATAAATCTCCTACAGATGATGAGTGTTTCTGTCAAATCAAATCAAATCAAATCAAATTTTATTGGTCACATGCGCCGAATACAACAGGTGCAGACATTACAGTGAAATGCTTACAGAATCCTGACATGAGGATTCTGGCCTAGCCTCATCTAACGGTGTCTTTCACAGAACCACACATATGGCGAGCCTTTGTGTCAATTACCCTCTATGGGGGCTGCTGATAATTAAGTAGATAACAGACAAATTAAATTATAATCACTCTGAGAAATTCCATCTCCATCTCAAACTCTTTACCTCAACCTAGCAGCTTCAGTCAGTGAAGACTGAAGTCTTGGAGACACCAGTGGAAATGGGTCGCAGGTGAGGCCACAACACACTCTAATTGTCTCTTCTCAACTTGCTGCCGCAGAGGAAAACAACCCCAATAATCGGAATTTGGGAGCATTAGTGACGATGTTTGCCAAAGCTGAATGGTTTCAATCCTGTGTTGTTGCATTTACTTCTGAATCAAAGATACACTGTTGAGGAGGCCTTTGTTCTTCAGCCCAACTGCCAGGGTAATGTTCCTTAGACTCAGAAGAGCGAAGAAGAGGAAATTGAAAGACAGTTTTGCTGGCATAATCCCACCTTATGTGGATCTTTGTTGCTCGATTGTGGCCATGTTTCCGCGAGGCCCGCGAAGCGCTCCAAACCAGTTATTTAATTTACCATGGAAAGAAAATAGTTGAGTGGCAGTTTTAATCTACTTAAAAACAAATGTTTTCCATCATGTATTTGTTTCCGCTACACAAGCCGAGAAATGTTACTGTAATCTTCTTTTGAATTGGGTTGAGATATTTTGGAGGTTCTTTCCTGGTTTGTACTTTCTACCTAACTGGGTTAATGTTCAAATGTGTTTTGCACACAATAAGAAGTCTGTCATAAACTGTGACCAACTTTGAGCGTGCATTTACTTAATTGTTCACTGCAAGTTGGTATCCAAATGTATGTTTTTATTATGATCTTCTATCAAATATGTCATTTTCGTCAAATACAATAATTTACTTCTGTAACGTCTAATAAGCAGTGATCAGCAGAGACCAGTAGAACTTACTGGAGTGAGTAATCAATCAATAAGGGTTTCTGCCTGAAAGGTCAAGAGTGAATAATTAACTGTCTCTTTTTGGGGGTGGAAATTAGGGATGCGTCCCAAATGGCACCCTATTCCCTATAGAGTGCACTACTTTTGGCCAGGACCCATAGAGCCATTTGGAAGCCCCATCATTAGTACACCTTAGCCATTAGTACACCATACTAACATTTTCTGGAACGTCATCTCCCGCATCTCATTCTATGCACTGGTTCTTAATTGGTCTCCACTATGATCAATAGCGTTCATTATTGAAATATAATGAGGCTACATAATTGGCACACACTTGTTTGCTCTAATTGGGAGAACATTCATTGGCTCATATAGAAGCAACACATATTTAATAGAACTGTTGCAGCCCACTCTAGAACTGACAAACCCCACAGTATTTATTTCCAACTTGTTGGTTTTTTGACTGGTGACTCCCAAGGGGGAGGGGAGAGCTGTAGCTCAGTTGGTAGAGCATGGCACTTGCAATGCCAGGGTTGTGGGTTTGTTTCCCACGGGGGGCCAGTATGAAAATGTATGAACTCACTAACTGTAAGTCGCTCTGGATAAGAGCGTCTGCTAAATGACTAAAATGTAAAATGTAAATCATTAGTGGACAGTAGAGTCTGGCCCATGTAGAGTGTGATGGCTCAAGGCTGCTCCAGTCCAGGGCAGTGGTCAGTGTGTGTGTGTGTGTGTGTGTGTGTGTGTGTGTGTGTGTGTGTGTGTGTGTGTGTGTGTGTGTGTGTGTGTGTGTGTGTGTGTGTGTGTGTGTGTGTGTGCGTGTGCGTGTGCGTGTCTCTGTCTGTCCTGGTCTAGTCTGGTCATGTGACCAAGGGCCAGCCTGCTCCTGCTTTCTAAATTAGGGGAGCTAATGAGGGAGGAAGCTACCAGAAGATCAGGGAAAGGGCACCTTGCCTCCCCCTCCTCTCCTCCCCCACCTCTCCTCATCCTCCTCTTTCCGAGAATACTAACTTTTTTTCGCTGTGCTTCATTTCATTTACTAAACTGACCTTTCCATGCACAATTAACATTTAAGGGAAATTAAGGTATTCTCCCTCCTACTCATCTTCCTCACATTTTGGACCTGTATGATAATTGTAAAGTGTGACTTTGACTTTCTGAAAGTCAAATTCAATTTCAAAACTACATTTACCAAGTTAATTTAATTTAATCTTATTTATGAATGGTAAATCACCATGAATTCCAAGTAAACACTTACATATTTGAACTGTGTTTCACCAGAGCTCTTACTTAAGTCATTTCCACTGAGGTAAATGCATCCACCAGTTAGAGCACCAGATAACCTGACCTTTTCCTATTCATCCTCCTACCTCTCCACTAGGGAAGTACATTTTAAATGATTTCACTATTCAAATAATATCTACATGTTTTTATTTCCTTCTGGATATCCAGATAGTCGAAATACATGTTTTAAAGAAGAAAAACTGGGTTTTCAACTTCAATGGGGACTTGCTCACGAGACTCACAAGAGGCAGTGCACTGCTTGTTGTTTCAGCACAGATATATGGGGGAGGGGTGCGAGAGGAGCAGGGGCTGGTGTGTCTGACAGGAGGGAGAGAGAGACACTTACAAAAATTTACCATGGTAGTACAATGAACAAAATGCCGAAATGCTACTATCATATTTTTTGGGGGGTCACTACAATGGCAGGAACATACCATGGTACTGTTGCAATACCATGGTATTTTCCTGCCATGGTAGTGACCAAAAATAACATGATATTTCTTCATTGTACTAGCTACAGTGTGGGAAAAAAGTATTTGATCCCCTGCAGATTTTGTACATAATGCCCACTGACAAAGAAATGATCAGTCTATAATTTTAATGGTAGGTTTATTTTAAGAGTGAGAGACAGAATAACAACAAAAAATCAAGAAGAATTCATGTCAAAAATGTTATAAATTGATTTGCATTTTAATGAGGGAAATAAGTATTTGACCCCTCTGCAAAACATGACTTAGTACTGTGTTGGCAATCACAGAGGTCAGACGTTTCTTGTAGTTGGCCACCAGGTTTGCACACATCTCAGGAGGCATTTTGTCCCACTCCTCTTTGCAGATCTTATCCAAGTCATTAAGGTTTTGAGGCTGACATTTGGCAGCCTGCCTCTGACTTTATCAGAAACTTGCCCATACTAGTATGTAAAATCATCAATATAATATCAACCAACCTCTTTTGACCTTGGGGGGATTTATTTATTTAATGCATTATACTGCCATTGTACTATGGTAACGTACAATTAATAAATGGTACCATATGATAATTATTGGTACCGTTATCATAATTGTGTGTTACTGTGGTAGAATGTATAATGCTGGTTAAAACCATGCAATACCATGGCATTATTTAGGAGCATGGCAGTACCACCATACTTAAAAGCTAAAACCAATGTACATTTCCATGATTCAGACTATACCATGGTATAAGTGAAAGTATCATAATAGTACCATGGTGTGAATGAAAGTACCATAGTAATACCAATAGTACATATATGTAAGGGGAGAGAAAGTATTCAAACCAACTCACACAATTTAGACAAACTTGTTGCTGTGATAGGTTATCTATCATCTAATCTGGTGGTGTCTGTCTTGACTGCATCAAATTGATGTAAAGAAGATAGCTAGCTACACAAGCCAGCTAAGTTAGTTAACCAGCAAGCTAGCTAGCAAGGCTAATTGAGTATATTTTGCTGCACTCCCCGCATCCTTGTCTACAACAACTCCATTCATATTATACAACAGCCTACCTGTTGGTTGATCATTGTAGCCTTCTTCTTCTCATTTAGCCAACTTAATTATGTAATTGTAATTCAATTTTGCATTAATTAGAAATATCCCACTTCACTTGTTACACATGGAAACTCTAATGGTTGTGCTGCTTTGATTGACTGACAATAACAAGCTACACATGTGAAAAGTGTGTAGGCTACCGGTACATTTTGTTATGGGGTGCACTCATAAAAATGGTCATAAAACTATTTTTTTGTTTTTTTTGTTTAATCAATAATTATAAAGTCAATGTATGTCCTTGTATGTAGCAGTGTAACATAGATAATTTTATAAAAATGTAGACAAAGCATTTGCATTAAAACATGCCTATTTTAAAAATAATTATCTCACAAGTAATCAAATATTGTGTATGTTTGGATATTTTAATATACACTCTGTGGCATATAGCAAGTTCCCACAATAATAGGTTTTAGGTGTGGCAGGTGAACCTGTAGCCATATTACTTCAACAGCATTTGACATGAGATCCTCTCTAAGCTTTACAGGAATATGACACTGAATATATACAGTAACACCTCCCCCATTGGCATTCCTAACTATTCTGTAGATGTTATAAGCATGTATTGCTACCACTGCATCATCAAAGTAATTATCTAAGAGAGTTTCAGAGATAGCCATTATATGCATGTGTGTGTTTATGTGTGTGTTTACAGAACCTGATAAAGAACCTACCGGAGCAGAAGGAGCTGAGCGCACTGGCGGAACTTAAGAGCGAGTACGAGGAACTGTGCGAGCCAGAGCAGTTTGGCATTGTGGTGAGTAGGTTTACATATTACACCATAGCACCTAGCTAAAGCCCTTCAGGGAGAAGATGCTGCCTCACACACACCAACACTGACACATACACAAACACACTCACCCCTTTCCAGACTTTGACTCTCACATTCCCACACACCTACCTACATACCATAAAGTGGAAAGGCATTTCAATTGGTTATTGATTTGGGTAGCCCGCCCTCCCTCCCTCCCTCACATTCCAGTGCATCACACACTGACGATTCTCATAGCCCCCCCCCCCCCCCCCCCCCCCTCCTTTTTCAACCCTGTTCCCTTTGTCACACAGCAGACCCCCATTGTTTCCTTTCTTACTACTTCACACACCATTACATGTCCAGCTCTTCATTAGGAAGTTTGGTGAAGGGCCAAGACTGTAGGGAGGGCACCATTGAGAAATACATTTGGGGTTAGAAAAAATACAGCCTTGAGGCTTTCTTCAGGCTCAGACTTATTCAATATCTGCTGTAATATAAAATCAAAAGAGTGGAAATATAAAGGTACTTTTTTTGTGACAGGTCAAATGTGGCAGTCTGCTCTTTGACTGGCAGAAGCCATGATTTTAATAAATAATAATGTGAGAAATTTGATTTCAATATAGTAGCTTAATTAGTGTCCTTATGGTGTTAAAATGACACTGTCATTCCAGGTCTCAACCAATTCCATATTTTGTCATAAACTTTCAATATTTCCCAGTGATAGAATCATAGCATCAGGCTTTGGGTTCTATGTAATAAAGTTAGTGCACTCTACTTCGTAGTGAAGTCAGGACATCTCAATGATACACTATGGTTGCCTCAAGTGTTAGATGCAGTTGATGTTGAGGTTATACTTTAGCCTAGTGTTGTATTTTTACACTTTCTACAGTGTCATATAGAAGGGAGTCTATAAAGTTTACATTGACATTTTTTATACCACATTTATTTATCCAGAGCACATTATCAAAGTGCATTCCAGAGAACTTTGTATGTTTAGCTATATCTTTATACAGGTAACTGCCAACATAATGGATACACTTGAGTAAATTAGGTATACAAAGTATATTAAAAGTCATTGCTTCCACACAGGTGTGGTTCCTGAGTTAATTAAGCAAGTAACATCCCCATTATCACGACTCAGGATATGACCCAGATGCAGACGCAGGAGGCGGATGGTTCAGTTCTCTGATAATGTATTATAACACGGGGAGCAGGCAAAGGGCAGGGTGAGGACAGGCAGAGGTTCATAACCAGATCAGAGTCTGACAGGTACAGGACGGCAGACAGGCTCAGGATCTTCCAGGTATGGCGACAGCGGCGGACAAACATCTGGGCCGAGGTTATGCTGATCTCTTGGTCATGGAAGAGTGGGGGCTGATATCCAATGGAACACTTGAAAGGCGAGAGACCAGTGGCCAAGCAGGGTAGGGTGTTGCGGGCGTATTCAACCCACACGAGTTGCTGGCTCCAGGTGGTGGAGTTGGCGGAGACGAGGCAACGAAGAGCAGTCTCCAGATCCTGATTGGCTCGCTCCGACTGGCTGTTAAACTGGGGTTGAAAACCGGAGGACAGGCTGGCCGACACCCAATGAGGGTGTAGAACACTTTCCAGTACTGGGACAAGAACTGAGGACCGCGATCGGAGACCATGTCCACTGGAAGTCCATGGATCCGGAAGACGTGTTGCACCATGAGCTGGGCCGTTTCCTTGGCTGAGGGTAACTTAGGAAGGGGAATGAAATGGGCGGCTTTGGAAAACCTATCTACCACTGTAAGGATAGTGGTGTTGCCATCTGATGGAGGGAGACCAGGGATGAAGTCCAGGGATATATGAGTGCAGCCGCTAGACAAGAGGTAGGGAGGATGTCTCGGGGTTTGACGGTGTGGCAGTGGGGCTATAGAGGTGTGAGAGCACATCCGACTTCACATTCTTGGACCCCGAGCGGTAGGAGATGGTAAAGTTGAACCGAGTGAAAAGCAGGGCCCATCGAGGTTTCCTAGAGTTGAGGTGCTTGACGATGTGGATATATTACAGGTTATTGTGATCAGTCCACACTAGGAATGGATATTCCGCCCCCTCTAAACAGTGCCTCCACTCCTCAAACGCCATATTGACTGTGAGTAGTTCTTGATTTCCCACGTCATAGTTCATCTCAGCGGGGTTAAGACGATGGGAAAGGAAAGTGCAGGGATGCAGCTTTTGGTCCTGTGCAGAACACTGGGACAGGACGGCCCCCACTCCAACGTCCAAGGCGTCGACCTCCACCATGAACTGACGGGACGGGATGAGAGCTGTAGTGAACCGATGCTTGAGGTCCGAGAATGCCCGGTCAGCTGCTGGAGACCATGTGAATGGAACGTTGGGAGAGGTGAGTCCTGAGAGGGGAGAAGCCAGGGTGCTGTAACCCCGGATGAAGTAGCGGTAGAAATGAGCAAACCCCAGGAAACATTGCAACTGCACTCTGGATGTGGGTTGAGGCCAATCCACCACCGCTCTCACCTTGTTAGAGTCCATATTTCCATCAGCAATGACATACCCTAGGAAGGAGATGGTGGAGTGATGGAATTCACATTGTCTGCTTTAACAAAAAGCTGTTCTCCAGAAGATGCTAAAGGACGTGTCGGACTTGGAGGACGTGTTCTTGAGCTGACCGGAAAAAATGAGGATATTGTCAATGTAGACAAACACAAACCGGTTCAACATATCATGGAGCACATTGTTGACCAGGGCCTGGAACACTGCATGAGCATTGGTCAGTCGGAATGGCATAACAAGGTACTCGTAGTGCCCGCTAGCCGTGTTAAAAGCTGTCTTCCATTTGTCTCCTTCCTGTATCGGAGCCAGATGGTAGGTGTTCCGAAGATCCAACTTTGAGAAGATTGTCACCCCCTGGAGAGGCTCGAAAGCCAAGGAGATGAGTGGTAGAGGGTAACACTTTTTAACCGTGATGTCATTAAGGCCCCGGTAGTCGATGTCCTTCTTATCCACAAAGAATAACCCTGTGCTTGTGGGGGAGGCTGATGGACGAATACACCCGGCAGCAAGAGAGTCCTCAATGTACCTTTACATGGTCTTGGTCTCCTAGACCCGACAAGAAATAAAGCCGCCCCAGCGGTGGTGTGGTTCCTGGGAGAAGGTCAATAGTGCAGTCGTAGGGTCGATGCGGAGGGAGATATGTAGTGCAGGCCTTATTGACAACCTCCCGGAGGTCCTGGTACTCCGCGGGAATGGCTTCTATCAAGCCCGCAGGAAGCCATCCCAGGGCAGGCTGCGCTGACTTCAGACCATTTGCGTGGCAGAACGGGCTCCAACCCATGATAGAACCAGTAGCCCAGTCGATCAGATGATTGTGCCTCTGGAGCCATGAAAACCCCATAACCACGAGTGCATAAGGGGGTTCAATGAGCAGGACTCAGTGTGATTACCTGACACTATCAGATTATGGGAATCATATTGTGGGTCACTCTGCCAATAGAGCACCCATCCAGCACTCTGAAGTCCATGGGAATGGAGAGGGGTTGTGTGGGGATTCCCAGCTCCAACACCAGGGTAGTGTCCGTAAAGCTCTTGTCGGACCCATAGTCAATGAGCACCCAAATACATTTTGGACTGGTCACCCCACAGCAGGATAGCATGGAGAGGGGTACGATTAATGGAAGATGGGAAACTCCCCGTACGGCTCACCAGCGTACTCATTCCTACTTGATGTGTCTGGTCTTTTAATGGACCGGTAGATATGTAATGTCCTGTTGTTCCACAATACAGACAGCTCTTGGTGCTCAGTCTGCATAAGTGTTCAGAAGGAGAAAATCTGGCCCTGCCCAGTTGCATGGGCTCCGGAGAAAGTGAGTTGACAGCCCTTGGTGATTCCCGAGGGAACTCAGGTGACATCGGATTATCCCGGAGACTTACGGGATTCCTCGGAGGCGAGGTGGGCGCCGTGGACTAGTGTGCCCGGGAGAAGAACTCCTCTCCTTCCTACGTTCCCGTAGCCGCCCATCGATCCGTATGGTCAAGGCTATGAGAGAGTCGAGATCCATAGGAAGCTCCCGGGCTGCAAGCTCGTCTTTGACAACCTCCGGTAATCCATGCAGGAACGTGTCGAACAGAGCTTCCGGGTTCCAGGCACTCTCGGCGGCCAAAGTGTGAAAATCTACCACATAGTCTGCCACACTATGGGAGTCTTGACACAGTTGCAGTAGCTTACAAACGTCCTCTCTCCCGGACAACGGAGAATCGAACACCTTTCTAACCTCCACCACAAACTCCTCCAGACTGAGGCAAACGGTGGATTGTTGCTCACACACCGTCGTAGCCCGGGCGAGAGCCCTCGCGGACATCAGTGTTATCAAGTATGCTATCCTCGAGCGATCCGAGAGAAATGAAGAGGGCTGGAACTCAAAGATGAGAGACGGGAAATAAATGCCTGGCAGGATCATGGATCTCCAGCGTAGCACTCTGGAGGAGGTAAGCGGGGTTCTCGGGAAGCCGGGGTAGATTGAAGAGAAGTGCCGCTGGTAGCGGGGTAACTGACAGTCTGGGGGGTTACTGTTGTGCTGCTTAGTAGATAACCCGCGTAATTGCTCCAGCAACGCAGTGAAAGTGTGGTCATGGCATTCCGGTAAGGTCTGGAGTCTTTCCATACAGTCTTGAAGTACTACCTCATGTCTACCAATGGTGACTCCTTGGACAGAGACAGTGTTGCGGAGCTGGTCCGAGTCTGCTGGGTCAGTCATGGCCAGTTTGTACTATCACGACTCAGGATATGACCCAGATGCAGACACAGGAGGCGGATGGTTCAGTTCTCCGATAATTTATTATAACACGGGGAGCAGGCAAAGGGCAGGTCGAGGACAGGCAGAGGTTCATAACCAAATCAGAGTCTGACATGTACAGGATGGCAGGTAGGCTCAAGGTCAGGGCTGGCAGAAAGGTCAGATCTGGAAAGTCTAGAAACAAAAAATTAGAGAGCAGGGAAAAACAGGAAACACGCTGGGACGACCTGAAAATACAAGACAAACTGGCATGTATAAATACACAGGGGATAATGGGGAAAATGGGAGACACCTGGTGGGGGGTGGAGACAAGCACAAGACAGGTAAAACAGATCAGGGTATGACAACCAGCATGCTTAGGGTCACGAATAGAAATGCTGGGCAGGCCATTATTTTGGCCATTATTTTGGCTACCATGGCTATGCCCGTATAGGATGACAATGCCCCCATCCACAGGGCACGAGTGGTCACTGAATGGTTTGATGAGCATGAAAATTATGTAAACCATATGCTATGGCCATCTCAGTCACTAGATCTCAACCCAATTGAACACTTATGGGAGATTCTGGATCCTGAGACAGCATTTTCCACCATCACCAACAAACACCAAATTAGGGAATTTCTACACTTTTAGAATCTATGCCAAGATGCATTTCAGCTGTTCTGGCTTGTGGTGGCACAATGCCCTATTAAGACACTTTATGTTGGTGTTTCCTTTATTTTGGCAGTTACCTGTATCTTCAGTTTGTTTATACTCCTCTAGGTTGTTGCTGTAAAAGTCAGTCAACCTAAGGTGTTAAGAATAATACACTGCTCAAATAAATAAAGGGAACACTTAAACAACACAATGCAACTCCAAGTCAATCACACTTCTGTGAAATCAAACTGTCGACTTAGGAAGCAACACTGATTGACAATACATTTCACATGTTGTTGTGCAAATGGAATAGACAACAGGTGGAAATTATAGGCAATTAGCAAGACACCCCCAATAAAGAAGTGGTTCTACAGGTGGTAACCACAGACCACTTCTCAGTTCCTATGCTTCCTGGCTGATGTTTTGGTCACTTTTGAATACTGGCGGTGCTTTCACTCTAGTGGTAGCATGAGACAGAGTCTACAACCCACACAAGTGGCTCAGGTAGTGCAGCTCATCCAGGATGGCAAATCAATGCGAGCTGTGGCAAGAAGGTTTGCTGGTTCTGTCAGCGTAGTGTCCAGAGCATGGAGGCGCTACCAGGAGACAGGCCAGTACATCAGGAGACGTGGAGGAGGTCGTAGGGGGGCAACAACCCAGCAGCAGGACCGCTACCTCCGCCTTTGTGCAAGGAGGAGCAGGAGGAGCACTGCCAGAGCCCTGCAAAATGACCTCCAGCAGGCCACAAATGTGCATGTGTCTGCTCAAACGGTCAGAAACAGACTCCATGAGGGTGGTATGAGGGCCCGACGTCCACAGGTGGGGGTTGTGCTTACAGCCCAACACCGTGCAGGATGTTTGGCATTTGCCAGAGAACACCAAGATTGGCAAATTTGCCACTGGCGCCCTGTGCTCTTCACAGATGAAAGCAGGTTCACACTGAGCACATGTAACAGAGTCTGGAGACGCCGTGGAGAATGTTCTGCTGCCTGCAACATCCTCCAGCATGACCGGTTTGGCGGTGGGTCAGTCATGGTGTGGGGTGGCATTTCTTTGGGGGGCCGCACAGCCCTCCATGTGCTCGCCAGAGGTAGCCTGACTGCCATTAGGTACCGAGATGAGATCCTCAGACCCCTTGTGAGACCATATGCTGGTGCTGTTGGCCCTGGGTTCCTCCTAATGCAAGACAATGCTAGACCTCATGTGGCTGGAGTGTGTCAGCAGTTCCTGCAAGAGGAAGGCATTGATGCTATGGACTGGCCCGCCCGTTCCCCAGATCTTAATCCAATTGAGCACATCTGGGACATCATGTCTCGCTCCATCCACCAACGCCACGTTGCACCACAGACTTTCCAGGAGTTGGCGGATTATTTAGTCCAGGTCTGGGAGGAGATCCCTCAGGAGACCATCCGCCACCTCATCAGGAGCATGCCCAGGCATTGTAGGGAGGTCATACAGGCACGTGGAGGCCACACACACTACTGAGCCTCATTTTGACTTGTTTTAAGGACATTACATCAAAGTTGGATCAGCCTGTAGTATGTTTTTCCACTTTAATTTTGAGGGTGACTCCAAATCCAGACCTCCATGGGTTGATAAATTTGATTTCCATTGATAATTTTTGTGTGATTTTGTTGTCAGCACATTCAACTATATAAAGAAAAAAATATTTAATAAGATTATTTAATTCATTCAGATCAAGGATGTGTTGTTTAAGTGTTCCCTTTATTTTTTTGAGCAGTGTATGATGATGTTGCATTGGGGTAAAGGTAGACAAGCAACTCAGTTCGCACTCATTCAGTACAATTTTATATTTTGGGTGGTGTTTCTGTACCTGTGACTCTTTGAGGATGTAATGAAGCAAGGTGTGACAGTTCCCCCGTGGGATCTAGCATAGAGCTGTCGTGGTAATAAACCGCTCCCGCCAGTAAAGCTACCTCATCAACATCACCACGACACACAGGGGCTCCTGAGGGAAATAAGTCACTTTCAGCCTCCACTCCCGCAAGAGCTTCCACCCATTTTTATTGTGATTTCCCTCTTTTATACAGAGAAATCAAATCTAGGGTGGGGGAAATGGGGGGCACAATGGCTTTCATTTGATAGACAACTTGCTCATGAACATTAATAGCTGTAATGAAACATCAGGACCATGTCTGCCTCAGAGTGTTGGATTATATGGCAATCTGTGGCATGTTGGTGGAGGTTGCCAGGCAATCTCTCAACTGCTGCCTCGACTCCTCCACTTGCTATTTTTCTCATTTTCTGACAATTTGATTGGAGTTATTGATTGGAGTTATATTATTTACTGGCAAATATATTTCAAGACTGATGATTTATCTTTTTCCAAATGAAAGTGCAGCTGCCTGGTCTTGCTTGAGCCTAGATATTGTTCAGTGGGCCATCACTACTTGTTAATGTTATCAGATGTGATTCATGCCATAGTTGAGGAAGGGACTTCCTTCTAGTCTAGAAAGCCAGACAAGATATATTTCAATTAGTGAATCTTTACAAAAAGTTGAACGCAATGTACTTACCTGGAGACAATGTCATATTTCACACTAAGTTTATTTTGTATACATTTGCAGTAGAGCTCTACATGGCCTCGTAGGCCACACATTAAACAACATATAACTTATAAAGATCGTAGAGCTTTCATAAACACTACATACGCTTCCTAAACTTTAAACTATTCATAACCAAATATTGTTGTGTTTTCCTCTAGATGAGCTCTGTGAAGCTGCTGCGTTCGCGCCTCAACGGCATCCTCTTCAAACTGACCTTCGAGGAGCAGGTGAACAACATCCGGCCAGACATCATGAACGTGACGTTTGCCTGTGAGGAGGTGAAGAAGAGTGACAGCTTCAGCAAGCTGCTGGAGATGGTGCTGCTGGTGGGCAACTACATGAATGCCGGCTCCCGGAACGCCCAGACCTTCGGCTTCAACATCAGCTTCCTCTGCAAGGTAGGTGCTGCAAGGACTGCATGAGTTCGACCTCGCCCCTTTCAGGCTTACTTTTGTCTCACTGTCTCTGTTTGTCTCTCTCTCTTTCTTTCCAAATAAATTTCAAAGGGGCTTTATTGGCATGGGAAACATATGTTTACATTGCCAAAGCAAGTGAAATAAACAATAAACAAATTGAACAACATCAACAAAAAAACTATTTAAAATGAACAGTAAACAATGCACTCAAAAAGATAGACATTTCAAGTGTTATATTATCAGCTATGTACAGTGTTTTAGCAATGTGCAAATAGTTGTAGTACGAATAGTGTGAGAAGATAAATAAACAGATAAATATTGGTGGTATATACAATGTTGTTTGAGTGGTTCACTCATTGCCCTTTTCTCCTGGCAATGGGCCACAAATATTGCTGCTGTGATTGCACATTGTTGCTCTCTCTCTCTCTCTCTCTCTCTCTCTCTCTCTCTCTCTCTCTCTCTCTCTCTCTCTCTCTCTCTCTATCTCTCTCTCTCTCTCTCTCTATCTCTCTCTCTCTCTCTCTCTCTCTCTCTCTCTCTCTCTCTCTCTCTCTCTCTCTCTCTCTCTCTCTCTCTCTCTCTCTCTCTCTTACATTGCCAAATTAAATAGATAATAAAGAAAAGTGAAACAGGTCACAAATCTTGCTGCTGTGATGGCACACTGGTATTTCACCCAGTAGATATGGGAGTTTATCCAAATTGGATTTGTTTTCAAATTATTTGTGGGTCTGTGTAATCTGAGGGAAGTAGTTGTCTCTAATATGGTCATACATTTGGCAGGAAGTTAGGAAGTGCAGCTCAGTTTCCACTTCATTTTGTGGGCAGTGTGCACATAGCCGGTCTTCTCTTGAGAGCCAGGTCTGCCTACGGTGGCCTTTCTCAATAGCAAGGCTATACTCGCTGAGTCTGTACATAGTCAAATATTTCCTTAATGTTGGGTCAATCACAGTGGTCAGGTATTCTGCCACTGTGTACTCTCTGTTTAAGGCCAAATAGCATTCTAGTTTGCTCTGTTTTTTTTTTAAATTCTTTCCAATGTGTCAAGTAATTATCTTTTTTGTTTTCTTATGATTTGGTTGGGTCTAATTGTGTTGCTGTCCTGGGGTTCTTTGGGCTCTGTTTGTGTTTGTGAACAGAGCCCCAGGACCAGCTTGCTAAGGGGTCTCTTCTCCAGGTTCATCTATCTGTAGGTGATGGCTTTGTTATGGAAGGTTTGGGAATCACTTTATTTTAGGTGGTTGTAAAATGTAACGGCTTTTTTCTGGATTTTGATAATTAGCGGGTATCGGCCTAATTCTGCTCAGTGTGCATTATTTGGAGTTTTACGTTGGATTAGCAAACACAACGTGCCATTGGAACACAGGACTGATAGTTGCTGATAATGGGCCTCTGTACGCCTATGTAGATATTTCATTAATAATCAGCAGTTTCCAGCTACAATAGCCATTGACAACATTAACAATGTCTACACTGTATTTCTGATCAATTTGATGTTATTTTGATAGACACATTTATTTATTTATTTATTTTTTAAACAAGGACATTTCTAAGTGACCCCAAACTTTTGAATGGTAGTCAATGCTTGTTCTGATATTTCTTAATTTCTTTCTTTTCACTTTTTGGATGATGTACCTATTGTTTTGTAATGCTAGGTATTACTACTGCACTGTTGGAGCTAGAAAAACAAGCATTTCACTGCACCAGTGATAACATCTGCAAATCTGTGTATGCAACCAATAAACTTTAATTAGATTTCATTGTCATGGGGCAACTTCACGCTACACTTGCTGATGGGTTTTGTGGTGCGTCCTTGCAAGACATAAGTTACCCAAATGGCCCTTAGGTAGAGAAACACAATTTGACACAGACTATGAAGTGATCCCATCCATATATTCTCAGATGTGATATTTAATCAATGTTTGTTTTAATTAATGACATCCAGTATAGCAATGCAACAGTTGCGGAAGACTCATAAACATTAAATTATGGCATATACATTTGTTTTGTACATTACATGCACATCATAATCATAGGACCAAGTTAAACATAATGAAATATGAAATAAATTGAATTCAACATTAATTTGATTTGAAATGGTTCACATCCATAATTACAAAACAAGTTTTATATCCATTTTAGTCAGTCACATGCTTCTGACAAAACATATTATTATCTATAATTTGGCTTATTTGTGGAGGCCAGTAAGAAGCTTCTAAAACACACCCAAAAGAAAAATGAATAGAAATAATAGCCTTTACTAATAATACAACTAGCGGACTCATTACCTGATAAAGAGTGGCATGATGCAATACATGTGACTGTTAGCGTTGAAAAGCCAGTGTGTGTGTCACGCTCGTCGAACAGAGAGGACCAAGGTGCAGCGTTGCGGGTGAACATAGTTATATTTATTACTAGATCACACGATCAAAACAATGAACGAAACGTGAAGTCCTTCGATACACAAACCAAAAGGAACAAGAAACCACAACACAAAGTGAAAAGACCGATAGTTAAATATGGCTCCCAATCAGAGACAACCAGCTGACACTTGTTGCCTCTGATTGGGAGTCACTCAGGCCAACATAGATATACAAAACATAGACTTACACACCCTGGCTCAACATAACATAGTCCCCAGAGCCAGGGTGTGACAGTGTGTCTCAAATGCATACTAATTCCTACATAGTGCACTACTTTTGATCATAGCCTTATGGGCCCTGGTCAAATATAGTGCACTAAATAGGGAATGTGGTGCCAATTGGTACGCAGCCCCAGCATCACTTTGGTCTCCCTGAAGGCCGGGGCTGAATCAGAGTGAAGTGTCTGGTGTGTGGAGACCGGCCTAACCCCAGGAGGCTGATTAGCACATTATTGATGGACAGGGAAGAAAATGTCCACATTCTCAACTCAGGTCAATCAACTAAATGGCCTCCCGGCTATCTAATGGCCTCATCAGGGAGGTTGTGCAGGCAAAGTGCAAGAGCTGACCCTGTGACCCTCCCAGACCATCCCTTCTGTCCCTGCTAAGGCGGAGGGACACAGACACTGAGTCCCCCAGGGGCCTATGCTGGAGCCAATGCAGCAACCTCGATATTGGCTTCAGTTTTTACAAGGGGCAGTGATAAAGGTCGGTTATATGAGTCAGCTGAGTATAGGGTGTGGAGGTGAGGAGAAGGTTAACGCAAGGCATTATTGTGCACTGAATGCACTTTAATATGCACTTTTCCCCCCTCACAACATGAAGGATTTGCTTGATGAGTGTGTGTATTCCTGTCGTTTTTTTCAGATGGCAGGATATCAGTTACACACAACAGTGATGTATGTGTAGAGAACATCTTCAGAAGATGGATAATCCACCTCGTCTTCAAAAGGAAGTCGTGAGACAGTGGACGCGCTCATTTTTTTATTTATTTTTTATTTAAACATGTTGACTGTGAAGTTAGAAACAGCTGGCGTGTAATTACTCATAATTGTTGAACAGTGTCTGTTTTATCACTGACTTACTGAGGTAAAAGAAAACTCTCCAGGCATATAATTACTTGAAATGGTCGCCCACAGCTTAAGTTAAACAGAACAGGCTATCACTTTGAGAAGATATTTGAATGTTTGACTTTAAACTGAAAGTCACGTTCCCGGTCCTAGAACTTACTTGTGTCCTTGAAAAAAGGTACATTATCGAAAATTACCACTTGTAAAACATCTGGAGAAACATTAATGGCGACGGCTATTATCATAACCGCCGTTCATGACGAGATGATAGCACAGTTCTGTGTTTTCATAGATGTTATATCAATGGAGAGGAACTTTCTTCATGTATGTTTGATCGGTGGAATAATGTAAGCAAAGTTTTATCTGTCGTTTTTGTATTTGGAAATTATGTTGCTTCCCGACCCTGGTCATCTTCTTGCTTGGGACACTAAGGCCATCCAGGCTGTTTAAAGTTTCAGTTAACTTTAGTCTTGTTGAGAAAAAGAATGAAAAGAATCAAAGAGAGGAAAAAAAAGCATAAAACTTTAGCCTGAACTGCTTTGGATTCTTGGCTCCTTGGCTTCTTGTCATCAACTTCTCACAAAAAGTCAGTTCTGTGGAAGAGATTTGACATCTTTCAGGAAAGGTAGACTCAGAGGAATGCACACACAGATTACAGCAACTTCAAATAAAGTGAAACCGCGCGGGGAGAAGCCTTACCGTTCGGTCGGGGCAGCTTTCAAAGCTGTGAGAAAGAAAAGGGCTTTAAATTAGACATTAAGTTCATTAAAGCTGTGTTCTTTTCTCACCCTTTGGGGACCCAGCATATACATCATTCATCTTAATATACGAGCTATAGACTCTGTGTGGAGATGAGTTAGTGGGAGGGTGCTCTCTGAACAACCATGGCTGTTGTATCACTATGTTTTAATTATGAGGAGGTTCCTCTGTATTTTATCATCAAGGGTTTATTAAGGGCACTGAATGGAAATAAAAATGCAGATTTTCTTTTTTGTTTCATCGTAGAAAAGTGTTGATTCAAAAACTCATATGTTGCCTTATGTTGCTTACCAGTATAATGAGAATGATAATATATTGAGATCCAACTAGTACTTCCTCGTGTGATGTTTTATACATTATCATCTCAGAATTGTTGAGTAGTGAAGAATGATATCAATTCATTATGATCTGCCCTCCCTCCTTATACCAGATTCAGTTCATTTTAGAAACCTAGAGAAAAAAGTAATTCCTCTTGTTTTAGCTATCATTGTGTTTCTTTTGCAATTCACATACTTTGACAGAAGATGTCCCTATAATTTATAACAATAGTTTTGATTGACAAATGTTTCTCACAACATAATCAATAATAAACATAATTCCGATTCAGTTTTTGTTCTTGGAGTAAATATATTGTTCTTTGACAACATCTACAGTCGTGGTCAAAAGTTTTGAGAATGACACAAGTATTGGTCTTCACAAAGTTTGCTGCTTCAGTGTTATGAGATATTTTTGTCAGATGTTACTTTGTTATAATGAAGTATAATTACAAGCATTCCATAAGTGTCAAGTACTTTTATTGACAATTACATTAAGTTTATGCAAAGAGTCAATATTTGCAGTGTTGACCCTTCTTTTTCAAGACCTCTGCAATCCACCCTGGCATGCTGTCAATTAACTTCTGGGCCACATCCTGACTGATGGCAGCCCATTCTTGCATAATCAATGCTTGGAGTTTGTCAGAATTTGTGGGGTTTTGTTTGTCCACCCGCCTCTTGAGGATTGACCACAAGTTCTCAATGATATTAAGGTCTGGGGAGTTTCCTGGCCATGGACCCAAAATGTTGATGTTTTTTTCCCCGAGCCACTTAGTTATCACTTTTGCCTTATGGCATGGTGTTCCATCATGCTGGAAAAGGCATTGTTCGTCACCAAACTGTTCTTGGATGGTTGGGAGAAGTTGCTCTCGGAGGATGTGTTGGTACCATTCTTTATTCATGGCTGTGTTCTTAGGCAAAATTGTGAGTGAGCCCACTCCCTTGGCTGAGAAGCAACCCCACACATGAATGGTCTCAGGATGCTTTACTGTTGGCATGACACAGGACTGATGGTAGCACTCACCTTGTCTTCTCCGGACATGGTGTTTTCCGGATGCCCCAAACAATCAGAAAGGGGATTCATCAAAGAAAATGACCTTACCCCAGTCCTTAGCAGTCCAATCCCTGTACCTTTTGCAGACTATAAGTCTGTCCCTGATGTTTTTCCTGGAGAGAAGTGGCTTCTTTGCTGCCCTTCTTGACACCAGGCCATCCTCCAAAAGTCTTTGCCTCAATGTGCGTGCAAATGCACTCACTCCTGCCATTCCTGAGCAAGCTCTGCACTGGTGGTGCCCCGATCCCGCAGCTGAATCAACTTTAGGAGATGGTCCTGGCACTTGCTGGACTTTCTTGGGCGCCCTGACACCTTCTTCACAACAATTTATCCTCTCTCCTTGAAGTTATTGATGATCCGATAAATGGTTGATTTAGGTGCAATCTTACTAGCAGCAATATCCTTGCCTGTGAAGCCCTTTTTGTGCAAAGCAATGATGATGGCACGTGTTTCCTTGCAGGTAACCATGGTTAACAGAGGAAGAACAATGATTTCAAGCACCACCCTCCTTTTAAAGCTTCCAGTCTGTTATTGTAACTCAATCAGCATGACAGAGTGATCTCCAGCCTTGTCCTCATCAACACTATCACCTGTGTTAACGAGAGAACCACTGACATAATGTCAGCTGGTCATTTTGTGGCAGGGCTGAAATGCAGTGGAAATGTTTTTTGGGGATTAAGTTCATTTTCATGGCAAAGAGGGACTTTGCAATTCATTGCAATTCATCTGATCACTCTTCATTCTGGAGTATATACAAATTGCCATCATCAAAACTGAGGCAGCAGACTTTGTGAAAATTAGTATTTGTGTCATTCTCAAAACTTTTGACCACGACTGTACTGTTCAATATCCACCATCCCATCTCCACCTCTCCACCTCTAAAAACCTGGCCATAGCCAGGGGTGTAGCCTGGGGACTCAATGATTTTCTCTTGTCACTCTCCCAAAACAATCCCGGGCTTAGGCAGTGTGTTGAGGTCTGAGATTACTACCACCGTCTGTCGCTGGAGTCCAGGCTCCCTGCCACTGTCACTCAACAAGCTCCAAAAATTGCCAACGGTCACTCAGCCCCACTGCCATTATTCCCAGAGCCTTCACTGACACACACACACTTGCATACATGAGCACGTACACACTCTCACACACACACACCTTTGCTCCCTCCTCAACCAGGAATACACAAATTACATGCGAGCCAAGATCTGTACAGTAAACTTTTATTGAAACGAGCCTGGCTGTAGAACTCCTTTGGCGAAAGTTAAATTGAGCAATAAGGGTTTGACAATCCTT